TTGCTTCTATTTAATTTAAAAAGCTGAAAAGAAACATGAAACCTTAAGCAAAATTGAACAAGCCTGGTCTAAGGAATTTATCCTTTATTTGCTATCTTTGGAAAGGGTTGATTTTCAATTAACACTTAAACTTTTCTGATTTCCCTTAGGGCTGGTAAGAATAGAAAAGAAACATGCATTTCCAAAGATCAGGAATTTAATTTTTATTAACCTTAAAAAAAAAATCTAACTGGCTGGTTTTGTCTCAGGTAGGTTAGAATTTAAGTCACAGAATCATGTAGGTTGGAAAAGACCTTTAAGATCATCAAGTCCTGAGCACACTGCTGGCTCATATTCAGCTGGCTATCAACTGGCACCCCCAGGTCCTTTTCTGCCAGGCAACTTTCCAGACACTCTTCCCCAAGCCTGTAGCATTGCATGGGGTTGCTGTGACCCAAGTGCAGCACCCTCACTTGAGCCCTCCTCCCCTCAAGCAGATCAACACTCCCACCCAATTTGGGGTCATCTGCAAATTTACTGAGGGCGCACTCAATCCCCTCATCCAGGTCATTGATAAAGATATTAAACAGAACTGGGCCCAGAACTGAGCCCTGGGGGACACCACTTGTTACCGGCCACCAACTGGATTTAACTCCATTGACCACAACTCTCTGGGCTTGGCCAGCCAGCCAGTTTTTCACCCAGTGAAGAGTGTACCTGTCTAAGCCATGAGCTGCCAGCTTCTCTAGGAATCAGAGTAGTCAAAGTAGTGAGGCTTTTTAAGATCAAGACATCATTTTAGTTCACTGGCTGTTGTGGTCTCTGAACAGTTGCTTAATTTCAATATTGACTTTAAGCGGTTTTAGTCTGACTTATGTGATGTCTAATACAGGGGCCAAGAGGTATCCTGAATTAAAAGTAAAATGTGTAACGATGTAACAGAAACTTCATAAAAATGTTAAAATCAGTATCACTATTCTGGAGTGGAAGGAGTAGCCATTTCCTGGACAGTGGCCTTCTGATCCTACTGCACTGGAGCAATCATCATTTGAGGTAGAATACTGAAAAGCTTTCCCTTCCCTGTAGCACCTCTCCTTACCTGCTGCTGCATGACAAAAAGGCAGACACAAAGCACTCCCAATTCTTCTTTCACCAAGAAACAACAATGGTTTTCAAACTGCTTGCATTCCCCCAGTAATAGAGTAAAAATATGGGACATCTGAATGTCTTTTTTTTTTCCCTTCTCTCAAACATACACAGACATATCAAAAAAAGCTGCTTCTGCTACTAATTGATGTTAAAATTGATGCTAACTGAAAAAGTCTGAGATTATTTTTTATGGAAATATTTTTGTAAATCTATTTTTTTTTTCAGTATGATTTAAAGAAATTATTCAAAATTAACCATCAGAAGACCAAGCAGTATCCAGTACCTCACCAACATTTTTTGTATTGCTCTTCCCACTTCAGATTTATTTACTTCTCTGGGGATTAAAAACAAACAAACCCTACTTTGCAGGCAGAAGTCCCTGGCTACCTTACAATAGCAGAGTAGAAAGATTAAATACTTTCCCCATCAGGATCAAGAAAGATTATGAAACTGTGAGAGGAGGACTGTCCCAAAGAACAGAAGATTTCAAGTTAATACACCTAGCAAAAGGAGATGTGACTAGTGGGAACAAGAAACCCTTTTGAAAACAATATAATGCATGCCTTCCCGCAGAACCTAATTCTGTCACACAACACAAGCAAAAACTAGAAACACGGTGGAAATTATTTCATAGCATACTTGAGAGGTAATGGATGGAATACTTAACCCTATTTCTGGGTAACTGATGAAACAGACTCTAATTTTATGTCACTTCCAGTTCAACATTTTTTCTTTTTTTTGACAAACTGGTTGTAATAAGGAAATAAAAATACTGGGTTTTTTAACCTTTGAAAAACCCCTGTTAAAAGGGACTTAGATATGCAAGTGATGAAGAATGTTCTAATGAGCTCTCAAAGTCATTACAAAGACAATGGAATGCATGCAATTTTTGCGCAACAAAAATTTCATAAGTTTCAGTAGCACTACTATAAAGCTGAGAAGTTAATAGTTATGACATCAGAAATCTCTACATCATTCACAGATAAATCAGAAAGCAACATATATCTGAACAAAGAAGATCTGTTTGGAATATGTATGTTCTAGGCAACAAAGAAGAGGTAAGAGTAAAAACTAAATTGAGATCCAGTGCACAAAAAATGAGATGCGTGCAATGAAATGTATGCAAACAACGTGGCTGGATGTCCTCAAAATCTGTGCTGTATCTGCACCAAATGTAAAGAGAATTCACTGTAGTATACATACATTTTAAGATAACATTGTAAAACAAAGTTTGGCATTTGTTGTATCTACTTCAATTAATTTTATGTACAAGCCAAGTATTTTTCCCCAAATCATTACTGTAATTTTTTAATCAAGCAAGAAATGGAAAAAGTTTTCTAAGGAAATTACTTCAAATTTGATGAAGACATACAAAAGTGGTTTTACATATTTTAATAGTGTTAATAGCTTATTCCTTTCTAGTTCTAAATACATTCAAAACAGCAATAAAAGGAGAAAGAGCACTAGTCTGCTCTGCCCAGATTGGTACCAGACAAGAAGAGCAAAAAAGACTATAGATGGCAAACCTGTAAAAATCAGAGAACTGACCTTCAATTAAATGTTGCAACTTAGCGGTCAAAATACTCAGAGATATCACATTTGTGAAAAAGAACACATCTGCAAGTAAATTCTCTAAATCTACCTGCTCACATCAGATGATGCATTTAAATAGAGATGGAGTTTAAAAGCAGTGTTCCACATCATCCACAACGTAACTGAAAAGCCTATGTTATTTGAAGCAGTAATTCAAATGGACAGTTTCTTTCTAAGGAATGCATGTTTGACTATTGTTTTTCTGTTGCATAAAGGTCACAACTGTATAAAATACACAGGAATGGGACCGTGATACCATGCTGAGTCAGTCAAAATGAATTCCATTCCCAGCTTTGTGAATGACTTGCAACATGAGTAATAAAATTATTGTATCTTTTTTCTTCATCTGTACAATGATCCTTACTTACTGGGAACTAATGATGGGTACGTTGATATTTAGGAAGCATCATAAGCTCCATCCATCCTACAAAAATCTGTCTTACGGTAGCTTGACTAAGTTTTTCAGGACAACGATTATCTTTTTTTATTTGTTTGTACAGTTCCCAGAACAATAGGTTCTTAATCCTTGACTTGGACAGCTAAGCACCATTGAAACATAAATAATTAGCAAACAATATGAGTTGAGAGGTTTAGTGAAGTGTTACCCTTCCCAGAGCTCCAAGGCACAGAGCATGTAAATGACCAGAATTCAGCCAATGCAAAGGGAACTGGGGACAAGAAACCATAGCCTTGGTTGCTTGCTAACAACTTTGGTGGCTTGTTCTTGAAAGAGCAGGGATACAAAAAAGGAGACTGATGGAATGCATATGTGAGAAGAGAACACTATTCAGAGGAGCATAGGGACTGCAAATATAGTTGCCTTTTGAACAAGGCATTTAGGACGAAAGCTTTTTATGTATTTGCCAGTTCTACTGTATCTGCAAGCTAAGAGCAAACACAGTAGGAAAAAGGGGTTTGTTTGGGGGGATTTTTTTGAGAAACAACACAAACATGCAATTTGCCAAAAGAAATATAGATCAACAAGAAACAGTTGTACAATCAACAGTAGCTGTTGTCTCTTGAGATGTCCCCTATGCATATATATGCTGCCTTTATCATGAGTATGCCCACTACATTCAAGCTAGAGTCTCACTTAGAAGAATCAGCTGTGTGTTATCATACACACCCAAGAACATCTCCCTGCTTCATATCAGAAGAAAGGAGGTTGGAGCTAGCCCAATCACTTGAGTAGCTCTTCATCTTGGACAGCCCTTCACATTCAGCATCTAAGAATAGCTTCACGTATCAAGCATAAAGGGTCTGACATGGAATTTGTGCCAACATTGTAAAACAATTACTGAACAATTCAGCAGCTGTTTCTTCTTCATTGTCTGTCCCCGCATTTGTCCTGTTGTTGGTGACCTCTAAGCTTGCACTCTGAAGGTGGATATCAGTAATTTGGGCTTGTTTACTCTAGAAATGAAAGACTGATGGGAAGCATGACTGTCAGTATTACTGGAGCGAAAAATAATTCCTTCCAAGTGACAAATGAAGAAATACTCTGCTTCCTGTCAGTCTGGAAGATACCTGGAGGACAGGCAATTTCCACAAGGTGATGAATGAAAAGGAAGCAGAATGCTGAGACGAAAGCCTGGAGTGTTTCCAGTAAACCATGAATGTAGGGTGGGGCAAACGAAAGCAGTCTTCAAGATGGATAAAGGCAAGAGAGTCAGGGTTTAATTCACTACCCACAATTTTTTTCTTAAAGATGATGTTAAAGCAATATATTAGGAAAAAATTGAGAATTACAACAGAGACTAAGTAAATATTTTCAGCCATTAATCAAAGTGTGTACAATACACACACACACTTATTTACCTAGATGTATCAAGTTAATATTATCCCACTATTTTAGAACAGCCCATATCCCATCATATTATATAATGCCATTATTACACTGTGCATCCAAAACTCTTCGATACTCAGTCAACAATACATACTTAATAAATACCTAACTTCAAACACATTAACCCACTCATTACTTAAGTAATCTAAGGCACAATAAAAATGAAAGCAAATCTGCCTGTCCAATAGTTTAGACCCCTTACCCCCTCTTGTATTTGGCAGTATAATCAGAAAAGTTGAACAGATTAGAATGATAAAGCATTTTCATCAAAAGACTACAGAAGTAATACACACAGAGTTTGATGTGATCTGAAAAAGATGCCGAATCTCTGTTTTTGAAAGAAGAGAAATAAAGTGGGTTGTGGGGTTTTGTTTTTTGTTTTTTTTTAACTAAAGTAAATGGAAAAAAGTCTTAGAAAGTCTCAAAGACTTACCTGTTGGTATGCTTCATAGATTATATCAAACAAGAAAGCCTGAGGCATTTCACTCGCTCTGTACCTGGCACGTTCCAATGAGTGGTCTAAACAGCCATCTGCAGCAGAGGCAATAACAGTAGAAACTAGAGGACGAATTGCTCCTGCTGCCTGTGGAACAAAACACAGAGAGGCCTAAATATTATTAATATTAACGTATATCAGATAGCTGCAGTCAAAAAAAGTAAGAGCTTTAAAATACATTTTCTACTTAATTATCTTTTAGATATCTCATAATGCATAAGTGATACAGCTTAGTCTGTAGGAGACAAAATTTATATAGCAATGGAAAACTGTAAGTACACACTGAAGGCCAATTTAACAGGAAAAAAATATCTTAAGTCCTTCACAAACATCTACTGCAAATACATGTACACATCTGAGATGTTCGTTTTTCAGACTTTCTTCTACATACACATTAGGTGGTTTCCGTGAGGACAGTTCTAGGCCTACTCAGATATCAAACAGCAGGAGACACACCTAAGAGCTCTTGACAATCCACACCACCTATTGCTTTCACAGATTTCAGTTTGGCTAAACTGCTCAGAAATAAGCAACAAGAAAAGTTTCAGAAAATTGAGCTTGTTCCTCCATGTTGAATTCATCCTATGAAATACTGAGCAACCATACTTACCAGTGAAATCACTGGGAACGTAGTATATACATCAAAAGTATTCAATATCCAGCAGCACTGTGTCCCAGAACAGGTATTTAAATGCTTATATTTCAGTTTTGGTTTTGCTTAATATGAAACCAATTAAACACATATATTTGATCTTTTCATCAATATATAGTATTAAAGATATCTAGCATCTCTGAAACAGAACTCTCCAAGCTGGGTTTAGTCATTTTGATACCAGAAAGTTACCCACACTTCATCAGTCACTTATCAAATGCTCGCATGAACTTTATATGAAGCTAAAGGCAATCGGGACAAGAGTTCTCCGTACTATAATAAAGAAAAGGATGCTAATGGCAGAACATTGCTTATCAAGTCACAGGCCAAAAAGCATGCTCCCTAACAATGCTAACCACTCAGAATGACATCCTTACACTATACTGTTTATTATCTATTTTTAAGAATAATAAAAAAGAATAACTGATGCTGTTCCAAGACATTTGGAATTATCCATCATCTTAAATCAGTATACGTAGAAAACCACTCCGGATGGTGAATTCTGACACTTCTCACTGGAGCCATAGATGATCTTCTAAGGTCTACTGAGCTTTGACACAGGAAAAAAAAACAGGTCTCATCACATAAAATAAAAGCAGTGTTACCGTTGATTTAATTTCTCTTCCGCTGGCAAATCCTGCCCTCATACATGAGTCCCGTCCATTCTTACATGATTTATGACCTCAGGTAAGCATACAGTGGGAGAATGAGACACCAAAAGTGAGCCCAAAGATTTTTCCTCTTGGAAGGGAAAGAACTAGTTCTCTTCCCTCCCCCTTTCACAATACTGAACAATAAAACAGAAGAATGCAGTCAGCGTGTTGAGCACTTTATGAGCTCTAAAATACAGTTTCTTTTAGTTCATTCTTTTACAGAATGAGGACAGGGACGTGAACCAATTTCTCATGCCCAAAGAGTTCTGCTATGCATGAGCTACCAGGGCAGGGCATAGGGAGAGAAAAGATTCAAAAGATTCACATGACAAGAAATATCTGAACCACTTTCTCTAAATCTAAAAAGCACTTTTTCTTTCTAATACATGGGAAGAGACATCTATGTAAAACACTACATGGAGCAAAACATTATCATCCAAAGGCAAAACATGGTACAGAAAGACCAGCGAGAACTACGAAATCACAGAACTGTCTGTAAAGGACCTTGAGAGGTAATCTAGTCCACCTTTCTGTCCCAGGCAGGATCAATTTTATTTCTGTAATAGAAAAGGCAAACTGACGAAACTAAACACCACCATAATTTTAGTAAGACGTCAATGTATTAAATGAGGAGTAAATTCAACAGATGTACTTTGAGGAAAAGCTGTGCATAAGCAGAAGTAGAGAGACTAAATTATCTGCAACTTGCCCCCTCTCTATTTCCTATGATTCCAGGACATGGACTATTACCTCTGTATCCCAGCTGCTGGGCATTTGGACTATGTTATTTTGCTCTGCCGTCATATTCTAATTGGTCACACACACACAAAAAAATTATAAAATTAGAAGGTCATGGGAAAAGAGACAGAGCAGCATACTAGCCACAGCTCTTCTGTAATTAGTTAAGTCTATTTGATTTTTTTTTTCCTGAAACACTTACCATTCCAGAAAAGTAGTTAGCAAAAGAGGATTTCTTAGGCTGATCCAGTATTTTATTACAGTTTTTAACAATCATGTCATGTTACATTTTAAGCATAAAACAGGCCAAGAGAATACAATGTGACTTGCGTAACCAAATCTCACAAGTGAAACACGCACTCTGAGGAACAAAAAACCAAACTGCAATTCTAAATAAAATTGAAATACTCAAAATTATATTCTTAAAAGAGCTCTGAAACACATTGTTTTCTTGACATCTGGTTTATTGCACAATAAAAATTCATGAATGTCTGTGTCTTTGTGACAATACTGAACTACATCTCCTGCTCTGCTCCAGCAGATTGAGGAAGATCCAATAAATCCAAACAGATCATTTTTTAAAAATCCCAGTTAACTTCTCAGGTAATTGAAAGCTTCATGGCACCTGAAATTTAACAAATAGCATTTTTCAAACAACTACAGTTTTGCTTTACGTTACCCCAGAACTGAGTCCAGTGTAGCAGGCTGAGAGTTCCTCACCTGTCTTCCCTCCATTTAAGTGAGAAATCACAAGTTGGGCACAGTAAGATGCCTTCTGCAGCAAATCCCCTCAAACTATACCCGACACTGACTGCGAACATGAATTTTAATACAAAGAATACGATTTATGGCTGACTTCTCATCTTGCAAGGGAAAGAAATTCTAACTATGTATGCAGTAACAGGACAACTAGCAGACATTTGATTAAAAAAAAAATAAATAAATCAGCTTTTATTCCAGAAAAAAGGACAACTCCATCCACAACTGCTCTATGCTCTAAAACTAGAATGCAGAGCTCTAGTATGTACTAAAGCCAGGAAGTTTCTACTGCACAGAAAACCTTCATAAGATGAGCAACTGGGGTCCAAAGGCCATGAATTCATCAGCTAGAGCATACCTGCTAAGGTGCAGCACTGAGTTGAAACCCTAAAAATCCTGAGACAAGATACAGAAACCGGTTAGTTGTTTTGCTCAGTGCTGGCTCACCCTTCTGCAGGACCTTTCTCTGTCTCAGCACACAGACACAGCCTCCCTCATCCAGATGAGGGTGACCCAACACAGGGCTGAGTTTACCACCTCAGTGACACAGGAACTACATTAGCTCCTAAAGCCACTTTCAGACTGAGTGAAACCGGGATCAAGCAAAGGAAAATATTGGCCTGCATATGCTCTGCATTGTTTTCATCTGGAACAAGAGAGTGGAGTCCCTAACACAGGAAACCTTGCATCTGCAGTACTTCTGGCGACATTCTCTAGCTGGCATATGCCGACACAGCTGCCAAACCCAAGCTGGCTTACACAGACCTCACCGCACATGCTTCCGCTTCCCAAACTGGCTCTTGGGTATCTTCACTCATGGTGTAAACATAATATTTGGCATGTAAAAACAGAATTGAGCTGTGAATTTTGTTCTCATATACAGGCCAAAGAGGGACACAGTTTCAGATGTATGGCTCGTTCTGCTGTATTTCCTTCCATTTAGCGCAAGCATCCTCCCTACTCAGCACAAACCCTTTTCTGAATTCCACTCCTAATACTCTGAAATGAACTGAACAGGGAATTTAGGTACTTAAGACAGGGCTACAGACTACATTTTTTAGTTCAGAAATTTAAACATTAGGGCACAGCAGGGCCAATAATACAATAAGGTACTACTGTATCTAAAGGGGCTTTTTCCCCTGATGACTGTGAGGTGTCACTGAAGAACACAACCATCCAGCTAGTCTACATCTATTCAGTTACAACACCAAATATTTTCTTCCTTGTAAGGAATTTCCATATTGTTTTTCTGGTTATAAATCAGTAACTAAGAACTATTTCCATATTAGTAAACAGAGCATATATTGAGTCTCAGGTATTTGAATTTTATTATTTGCTCTAATTTGAGAAGCTTTGACTTGCTATTTATGTCAGGAATGTACAGGTATTTGGCCCAGCTCTCAGGCAAGATGTTCAGACATTAATTTAAAAAAAAAAATGAATAAAACAAAGAAAATCTGTCCTCATTTAAAACTGTACTTGTTAATGTCACCATAGTTTTACAGGTCTTTTTTACACTTTGAATTAGCCTACCACAACATACAAATTCTGAGTCTAAAGCAAGTTCCTGGGTCTTATACTAACATTTCCTTACCCAGAATAGGTATCTTCCAATCTCTAACAATTTTGACCCAGATCTCAAGTAGATTTGCTTACAAAATCATACACAAAATGCACCATACACCCTTCCTGAGTGTGAAATAGTTAGTTAATGGACAGTTAAACTGAATTTCTTTAAATGTCCACTTTACAGCCTTCAAGCCCCTCCAAAGACAGTCAAGCACTAGTTTTGGTGAACCAGGCATGTCCAGGAAATGCATACACTTCTTTCCCCCATTTTCACATATTCTCTTAAATAAATTAGTTAAAGCATCAAAGTATCTGTGAGCAACCTCTTAAAAATTTTCTTTCATAGCATAACAGACATTGAAACTAATACTGCTCACTGGCTAGGTTTCTTTTGCAGACAAAATATTGGAACAAAACTCATCCTTTTAATCTATCATTTCCTTAAAACAATCCTAAAATGTCCTGAGAATGCAGAATTCCATCAACTTCAGTGGAAGTGACAGACTAGTATCTCTCAGAAGCAAGCTCATCCATCCATCTAATGAAAACTTAACCAGCCTCTGGATGCTTTTAGAAACAACACGTGTCTTTTATAACCCATTTTATACAGCACAAATCAAAAACATTTACAAACAGGTTCTCAAGTTTGTATTCAGATTTTTGCATAACTGCCTAGAGCATAGCATATATTCAAGATTTAAAGACTTGATAGTGAC